CTCTCCTCTCCTCTCCTCTCCTCTCCTCTCCTCTCCTCTCCTCTCCTCTCCTCTAGATACTCTCCTCTCCTCTCCTCTCCTCTCCTCTCCTCTCCTCTCCTCTCCTCTCCTCTCTGGTGAATAGGGTTGGTGAGAAAACAAGAATTCTATGTCCTCCAGTAGTGTGGGGTTTGAAATTTGTTTTTCCTGTGCTTACTGTTATCCAGCTCCAAATAAAGGAGATGCAGTAACTGCTTGCTACTGCTTATTTCTGACATGGAATTCATGGGAATGATTGGTTATGTGCCCTAGTGTCTGTGTGGTTTAGGTCCATGATACACACTGGATCAGAATATATATGTTAGGCCACAGTGTATGTGTCTACTGGAAACAAAATTCAGTCTGTGTAAAAAAATGCTATCTTTTGTTCTGAAATAAGAGTATTGCCATCTGTGTTTCATTAGAAACTTGGCTAACTTCTCAGATTAAGAGAATGCCTTTAGAAAAACTCTTTGCACTCCCTGAAGAAAGAAGTGGTTTACTTACAAGAACATTAAAATATTGGTATGATACTTTGCTTTCATGTGAACTGTGCTTTCATATTTGAGAAATATGCAGAAGCATCTAGAGGCAGAAAGAGAGGGAGCAAGTATGTTACTGCCACATGCTGCTCAAAAAGAACATATGAATTACAGTTGTAGAATCACAGTTTATACAGTGCACATAGCCACTAGGAATAGTTTGTAATTGTTCTGTTTAATTCATCCATTTATCTCCTGGACAGGAGCTCTTAAAAGCCTGCATTGATGAAATGTTGGTGGAAATTCACAAACTCTAAATCTGTTCTTCCACAGACAAAATTTGAGTATCAGATGAGTCTTGAACCCGTAAAGCAAACATGCTGCTCACCATTAAAGCAGGATACCTGCAAAGTTCTCAAGAATGAGCCTTGCGGTGCGCGCTTCGGGACTGCCATTGCTGCAGTGAAGGACCTCAACCTGGACGGGTACAATGACATTGTGATAGGCTCTCCCTTGGAAGATGACCATCGGGGAGCTGTTTATATTTATCATGGCCGTGGCAAAGCAATCAGTAAAAAATATTCACAGGTATGAAGTAAAACTCTGCAGGTTGCCAGCTGCGCTAATGTATATGATGTTTTTAATCCTGCCTTCCCAACATAGAATGAGGCTGTGACTTGACCAGTTGTAACAGCTTCTTTTTTAAATTGCTCTATACTTTTAAACTCATACTGATTTAACTGAATCCAAGTCTTAATATTGTTAAAAAATATGCTCACACACTTTTATTAGAAACCTTCTGACATGCTCTGAACAGCCAGAAAAGCAGATATTTTGCAATCTGAAAATTTATAGTGCGTTCATCACCATGGTAACTGTTTTAGGGGTATTGTAATGAAAATTTAGCATATTAAAGAGCCTAAACCCCATCTCACTGCTGTCAAATGCATCTTGACTGTTACAAAACCCTTCAAAGTGCACTGCATTAACCTCTTTATGCATTTCACAGCGTATTGCATCAGGTGGAGATGGGGAAAAAGTGAAATTTTTTGGCCAGTCTGTGCACGGAGAAATGGATTTAAACAATGACGGGCTAATTGATGTTACCATCGGAGGCCTTGGTGGGGCTGCCCTCTTCTGGTATGGAGAATCGCAGCAACTGTCAGGACAGAAAAAAACTGCTTGGATACCAGTGTAACTTGCATGCATGATTGTTTGGACTTTGTAAGGTTACTGGTTTCATCTCATGTTTTGACACTGACTTCAGATATTCATCTTTTCACATCTCTCTAGAGGAATGAGTGTTAAACTTAATTTACACTGTTATAAGTACAGGGATATTATAGAAATCTTGCTAGCCTAGAATGAAGAACTTGTCCTCCTAGACCACCTTCAAAATAGAAACTGATTCCAGTAGTGACACTAAGTAAAATAGGAAAAAAACTGAATTTCTCTCTTTTTCACAGTATATTGCATGTTATTTTATTAATAATATCAATAAGAGGTTCAAACATAAAGGGGTCACTGAGAAAACAAATTTTATTTCTTAGTAGGAAAACTGCAATTTGAGTCCCTACAGTAAAATCTGTAAAATTAAACTAATTCTGCTTGTGCTTAATAGTCAATTCCTTCTGTTAACAGTCAATTAATTTTCTTTATATGAGTATGATTCCGATCTAGTAGTGAGCAATATAATTTTTAAGGGAAAAGACAAATAAACAATATGATATTAAATATCTCATTTCTAAACCACAACTAAAACTATTTCTATTTCTGGTAAGGAAATTGCTAACCCAGCTCCTTGCTTTCTCTGTCCTGCTGCTTCACCTTGAGGATGATAGCAAGCCTTGACAAATTTGATCACTTACCTACTAGGTGAGTAGGTAAGTGATCAAATTTGTCAAGGCTTGCTATCATCCTCAAGATCCCAGGTTCTTCTGAACTTCACCTAATAGTTTCTTCCTAACTGTTCCATGTGTAAACACAGTGTTATGTCCCTCACTGCATTGTTGAGACCGCAATTCTGAAGAAAGTTACTTTGCCAGCTAAACTTTTTGATGGTACACTGACATGCTGCATCTCATGGCCAAAAGGGAACTGAATCGGACAGGAATGCATTTCAGGAACTAAGAACATTTAAAGTGAAACAAACTGGGGACAAATATTAGCCTGTTTATCTACATACAACCTAAGAGATGGTTTGCTATCCTTCAACTTATGTAAAATATTGTGTTCATCTGTGATACTCTCAAGGATAGGTCTAGGCCTCCAGTCTCTCTTAAAAGTGATCTGGATCTGTAGAGTTGCTTAAATGCTTTTGGAAATATTTCACCTGATATCTTTTCTGAAAAAAGTACAGCGCTGTAGAGAAATCCTGTGAGTGTTTTCTCCATAATTCCTCTTTTACTGGTACTAGATGTAGGATATATAGTTAATTACTCTTCCAGACCATCATGTTGTTGTTGTCCCCAGTTCTTCAGGGGCTTTCCCTCCTGAGTGATAGCTTTAAAAATATGCTCTAATGCTTTATAGGTTTTGGCTGCTGAGGACATTTTTTTGCCTCTTCTTTTTGTTGCTCACTTTTTGGTTTTCTGTATGATGAATGCTCTCTGTGATGGCAGTTAACAGGCATGCAGTACTCTGGAGAAAGGCAAATGCAGACTGACAATGGGCCAGAGAAGAGCCTTGCAACTGCCAGTTGTTTTTATAGCATCACACAGCCAAGACAGAAAACATGAAATAATATATGGCCTCTTAATTGGCACAACATGGCCAGTGCTGTGTCAGCTACTGTACTACAGCGTGGTGCCATCACCATGTGTCACAGGAATCTCACTTCAATTGTGGATTTTATGCTTCTGTTATTTTTCAAAGAACATTAAGGAATTTTTTCTTTTTAGCTATAAACTTTTTGACAGTTGGACTCAAATGATCTTAAAGTCTTTTCCAACCAAAATTATTCCAATGTGATTCTATGTCTGTATCTGAATGTTGAATGCTGCATATTTTGTGTGTTAATTCTTAAGTTTAAAAAAGTTGCTGTTCTTATTTCCAAGCACTTTCTTTGTGTTTTTTCAAGGTCTCGTGACGTGGCGGAAGTAAATGTTTCCATGCAATTTATACCTAAAAGCATCAATATTCAACAACAAAATTGTCAGATAAATATAAGAAAAACTATATGCATAGAAGCCACAATTTGTTTTAAGACCAAACTAAAGTCAAAAGAAGATATATTTGAATCCAGTAAGTAGATAAGTACTAAGCTATGGAAGCTTTAAGCTATAAAACTCCTATGCTTGCATGCATTTATTAATTAAAAAATGGAATTCAAGTCTTCTAAATTCAAAGCACATCTAAGATATATTTTGGGAAAAAATAATGTGTAGCGGCAAAGTGCTTCACAATATTGATCTCAACCTCCTTTGCAGGTCTGCAGTATTGGATTACCCTTGATGCACAAAGACAAATATCTCGAAGTTTGTTCACAGAAAGCCATGAGAGGAAAATGCAAAAAAATATAACTATCAAAGGGTCTGAATGTACGAAACATAACTTCTACATGTTGGCAAGTAAATCATTTAAAGTATTTTTCTCATGTTGATGCTAGTGTAACCCAAGTATGTATTCCATTAATTGCAAATTGGACAACAAAATCTCTGTTCAAAGTTAATCTTAAGAGTGTGCATAAAATTTGTTTAAAACTTAGAGTTATTTATTTATACATGTATTAACAATGTACTTTTATATGCAGTCTTTTTAGCTATGTCTCTGTGTCTGTTGTAAGAAAGAGCATAACTCACTTGGTGGAACCAAGCAGCTGTCATGGTTAGCAGTTCAGGTGCACTCAAAACTCGGCAGGACCATGTGAGAGAATTTCAGTTTGCATTTTAGTGCAATTCCTCCTAATAAAATACTGTAAATAAACTTTCGGGTTTGCCATAGAAAGTATTTCTTTTCTGCAAAACAGAAGCATAATTAACAACTGTGAATATGAATTTGCCCAGATTGTAGCTAATGTGTGGAGTGATTGCAATTGCACACTGTAAGTACATTTAAAATGTTTAGTGATTTCACAATTGTGTCTTAATGCAAAACTAATGGTAAATGATACCCAGAGTTTCCTTCACCAAACAGCAGGCCTAAGTTTGACATCACAAAAGGTGACACTGTTGATACTTATCTTACTGATCCTTTGAGCACAACTAGAAGAGAAACAGTGAGTCAACAGTTGAGATATTCTTTAATGAAAGTTTGTAGGATATGCTCAGGCTATTTGAAATTTTGTGATCAGGTACACTAAAACCTTAGTAAATATTTATAAGTAATGCTTGGCACATCTAATATGTTTTCATTAACTGCAGGCATTCAGATGCTTCTCTAGAAGAATGGCAGCAGTGTGACAGGAAAATCTTTTACCTCAGCACTTTTTGGGTCTTTCTAACCTCCTTAGTTACTAACGTGAATTTTCATAACAGCAGTTTTGTTTTCCTTATGTTCTAGGATAAGCCTGATTTTCAGGACTCAGTAAAGGTTTTGCTGGAATTCAATTTTTCTGATCCAGAGAGTGGACCTGTCCTTGATAGCAACTTGCCAAATTCAATAGCAGAATATGTAAGTCAGAAAATGCTGTATCAATAACCAATGTATTTAAGGTAAAAAATCATAGCCCACACAAGAGCTGAAGCTGTTGCCCACAAATTCACTAGAAAGGGGGGGTCATTGATCCTGTCCAGGAGATGCTTCCTCTAAATTAGTATTCAGGAGTGAAAAGTTTGATTCAATGTGCTTGTGAATCATTCTGGGGTTTCAAAGCTGTCCGTAGCTTACTGAAGATAGAAGATAGTTACAAACAATTTTATTGTCAGGTTTTAGGCAGGTGGAGCAGAGTGTTATCAATTTCCTTTGGTGGTGTTCGCCATCATTCTTACTTCTATTAATGCCTCTTTTCAGAATCCAGGGGAATAATTTAGAAGGGAGTGATAATAATGCTTATATTTCACCCCTGCATTTCACAAGATTTTGGCATGTTTAACTGGTTAATATAAGGGAAGACTTCTTTGATCATTAAACAGAAGGTCTTACATAAAATTAGTGCATTAAAATGCAAGTATTTGATAATAAATGTAAGAAAATTAAGACTAGGCATATTATTTTTGCAGATTCCTTTCACAAAAGATTGTGGAGCCAAAAATAGATGCATTTCAGACCTTGTTCTCATCGTAAAAGCAAGCATAGCTGGAGACAGGTAACTGCACTGTGTTTAATGTATTCTTGATATCTTTATAAAGTTTCTGTGTGAATTATACATTCTGCCAGGGTTTTCTTTCTAATTCAGAAACATGATAGTCTGGACACAGAGGTTTCTCTTGATGTCAAAAACTGATTCAATAGTTAAGATGTCCAACATTCTTACTTTATTTTACAGCTCTTCTCCATTCATTGTAAAGTCACGCAATGATAAGTTCACCATCCAGCTCTCTGTGAAGAACAAAAAAGATAGTGCCTATAATACCAGAGTTTTGGTTCAGTATTCTCCAAATATTATTTTCGCTGGCATTGAGGTAGGATTTGTTTTTACATTATCATAACATATAATGCTATAGATATATGAGGAAGCCTTTTTATTAAACTTTAATTTGTCTGCTTTGGCATCATTTCAGTTGTTTGAAAGCAATTTTCCAGGGCTGCTCTTCTTGCTTATGCCTTCAAAGAGTGTATTTATTCTGATATGAGTGGACTCTTGCCTAGCCCTGTTCACAAAATACAGATGTAAATTTCGTAATGGCACTTAGAAAAAGTGCCTGCCTCTTAGACAAACATCAGATGTACATCTGCAGAGCCAGAAATTCCTTGTTCTTTATCAATAGAACTCCTGAGCCTCTAAAATTCTCCTTTTGCACATGTGTAGAAAAAAACCACTGTCATGGTAGGACAAGATATATCAGTACCTCTGTGTACCCTACCTCAGACAGCATTTCCAAAAGTGGCTGTTTTCCTTCCTGCCTCAGCAGATATGGTACAAACACACCTCAGTTCAGATGGGAAGCATTTAGGGCAGTTTCTTTTCTGTCAGCAGTCGTGACGCTACACATTAGGAGTCAGGGATCCATAGCACTGTTGCTGATCCTATGGCAATAATTGATGGCATATGAATGTGAATTTATTGCTACATAAAGAACACATTTACAAAATTTGAAAACTGTGTGATTACAGATATGTTGATTGCTAGACCCCATGACTATTTTGCGTGATGTCCAGTAGGCATATAACTGTGACTGTTCCAAACACTGTCTTTGGGAAGGCATAATGGCAAGTAATTGGTAAAATGTCCATAGGTGAAAATTGTCTTGCAGAATTCGTAATTTCATATTTTTGTTCTAGTTCAACTAAGGCTTTGACTCTCACAATATATTGATAGTGAAAAGTGGCAGTGGTGTATAGGTTCAACAGGTCTGTCTGTGATGCTCAGTCAAAATTTTAAAGGAGTTTGCACAAAGCCATGCTTTCACTGTCTTTTTCCCTTCAGGATATACAGAAAGATAGCTGTGAATCTAATCACAACATCACCTGTAAAGTGGGATATCCATTTCTAAAACCTGCAGAAGAGGTAAAAAGTCCCCTGCATGCAAATTCTCCTTGTCCCATGTTATTCTAAAGGCAGGGCAGTTCAAATCAGCTCTGAAGTTCTTTTGTTCATCCCAAAAAACTATCCATGCATGTTTCCCAAGCTATCCTTGATGTCAACTCTACACAGCCAGATGGGAAACCATCAGATTTGCAGTACCTGGGCAGTCAGATGTGGTATGTGAGGATGTAATACATGCATATTGCCATCCTTGACACTGTCAGAACACAAGTGACATGCAGGTGGCTCACCTGGCCACAAGTGTCTGTCTGGAGGTTTTCCACAGCCTGGAGCCTATAAGTTTACTTACTTTGTATATGAAATGTAGTTCCTCGATTGAAGAAAAATAAGATGTTATGTAGAAGTGCTAACCCAGATCTGCCAAAATCAGACTTCATGACTTCACCTCTGCTCAGTGGGGCATGAGAGGCCTTTCCAGCAAGTAGTCCACTTAAACTCCATCTTGGGCAATTCCAGTGGTGTCTGTATCTCTTGTTGGAATGGAGAGGGAGCTTTAGTTAAACTAAGGCTTTGAAAAGCTGTACTTAGATATTGCTCTTTAATTGGGAAATATCAAGTTGCATGCAAATAAGACAATCTTTCCTGGAAGTTTCTTGTTTGCCCCTCTGTCATGCACTGGGAGGATCATGAGAGATGTCGTCTTACACTGCCTCCCACACAAATGTTCCACCTTGTGTCTTGGACTTGTAGGCATAAAGTTAGCTGTTACTTTCTTGAAGCCAAATAAGTGTATTGTCCAATGCCTCTGCCCACAGTGTTCCATTCCCAGCTTTACTAGATTTTTCACATTTTCCTTTCATGCTTTGCTTTTTAGTTTGTCTGTAGCTGTAAAGCCCTAAATTTAGAAATTTCACACTTTTCTTTGCATTTAGAAATCAATTAATCTCTGATTCACAGATAAACATTCCTAGTATATTCCTTTCAAAAGCTGTTTTTTGTTTTAAATATGAATATCTAGGACAACTTTCTGTGGACAACTTTGTAATAAAGATTTGCACACATAAAAGTAATGATAAAAATCTGAATTGAAAATTCTATATGGTAACAAATAAGAAAACTTCTGCTTTGTATAAAATTACCCTTAAGCATCAGGATATGATGAAGAGCATTTGGGACAGTGTTCCTCATTTTTTTGTAAATCCAAATTATGATAGATTTGCCCTGATTATAATAACAATGAGATTTTTTTGATATCTAGTGGTTTGTCCTTTATTTACATTGTAAACATTTCTTTTGATATTCTAGGGGTTCTACTATATATTAAATGATAATCCAGCAGCCTTCTACAGGGCAGCTCATCTCCACTGCAAAAGCCAGGCTTTGAAGCTTTTTTCTTTCTTTTTAGAAAGAAAAAAGATGTTTTGATAAATTGCTTGTAAGACCAATTGCTTTTGATTAAGCTGTATTTAGCCATCTGTTTGTAATACACTACATAGATTTTTTTTCTTGAGGTTTGTGAAAATTTGAGGCTTCTGTTTAATAAGTGATAACTATTGGATTTCCTTCTTGGTTGAGGCAAATTCCAAATAGTGGATTCATTCAAATTCACAGAAAACTGGTAAAACATAAATAAGAATTCCCTAGATAAAAGCAAAAGTTTGGACATTTTTCATTATATCAATCCCTGCTAGGGTGGGCTTTTTTTTCCTTTCAAATTGTGCAATGTATTTTTTTACACAGATTTCCTTCAAAATATCATTCCAATTCAACGCATCCTATCTCCTGGAAAATGCTACTATTCATGTATATGCAACAAGGTTAGTTGCACTCTCTGCCTTCTGGGTTTGTTTTTGTTTGTTTGTTTTGTAAAGCTCCACAGTTTTTTATTTCGTGGTAAAACACAAGTGGCTTCTGAACTCACAAACAGTTAAATTTTCTGTAGAGCTGGCACTCTTACAGATGTATTCAGTCCAGCTGTTTATTAAGTAGACTAAATAAATGTTGATACTCTCTACAGCCTTAGAGTTACAAGTGAGTCATAATTTCCGTTTATTTCACCTTCAGCAAAGGGTTATTGTCCTAGAGAATTACTGCGTACTTTAGCATGAATCACAGTTAACAAAAAGCTTGGCCTTCAAAGAGTAAGAGCATTGCAGAAGTTGTCCCTGATAGGGTAAAGGAATGCACTTGCCCTCAGTGTTTGCTGTCCCTGCAAAATCCAGGGATGGTGTGGCTTTTAATTGATCTGTTTTAATTCAGTCACCTGCCATCTGTAATTTTAACAAAGATGCATCTATGAGCTGGGGCTGGTGCAGGACTTAGATCATTAATTCTTGGAAAAGGTATTTTTAATTTTTAATTTATTTTTAGAAGATAGTAGTTGAGTGGAAATGAGTAGCATACTTTCATATCCAGAGCCAGTGGTTGTGTTGTGTGTGCAGCAGTCTGATCTGAGTGATGTATGTTGTTTTGTTTCAGTGACAGTGAAGAACCACCTGAGACCCTCAGTGACAACAGAGGACATGTTACAATTCCAGTAAAATATGAAGTAGGATTAATATTTGTAAGGTATTGACACTTCCCTGTACTTTACTTGCTTGCACAGTAAATTGCAGGTATTCAAAGAATATAGTGTTGTTTTGGTTTTGAAATGTGCTCGGTATCTATAGGCAACAGCTTCAAAGCTCATAAAGCAGAAGCACAGGCTTCAGTGAAAAGGTAAGTCATGAAATAATGGAGCAGTTACTGTCCCTAAGTTGATGAAACTCTATTTGCTCTATGTAAACTTGGTCTACAGTTTGCAAGTACAGCAGCAGCTTTTGCTTGGCTCCTGTACTTTGCTATATTTGTTCAAAGGCATTTCAGGAATGAAGGAAGCATAAGAAAGTATAACATAAGAGAAAAAATACTTCCAGCTTCCTGATGGCCATGGATTTGTATTGCTATAATACTGCATGGTGTGGTGTTTGATTTCCATCTTCAAAAATTAGACTTAATTTTAGGTTCTTGGGTGTTTGGTTTTTTAAGTTCAGACTTACACTTTAATGCAGGTCTTGTAGTACATTTTATTTTCAGAAACAGCCAAAATTCAGTTAAATTTCATCCCTGAAAACTGGTAAAAAAAAAAACATTTTGTGGTGTGCAGGTGAAAATAATTAACCCAAATTTATTTTGCATGTATTTTGTGGTTCACATCCAGACTTGTTTGTCCTATAGGGAATAAGGCTGAATTTAGAATATGCTGGCTTTGTTCTGGTTTTGCTTGATTATGTCTTTTACAGGATCCTGCCTATTTCACATGTCAATGCCCAGGATAAGGGCACACCTAGAATAAGGACAGCAAAATCAGACCCTAATGTATTAATTTTGGGAATAGTATTTATTTTCTTTTTTAGTAGTTATATTTGAACAGACCATAAAGCAAAGTTCAAAATTCTCAGTATCCAAGATTCCAACACATTCTAAATGTAGGTGGTAAAAAGTGGGGCCTATTCAGGGACCAAAGCAGTTGAACTTCAGTGGACGCAGCAATACACTTTTAATTGCAAGACCAGTCCTGAAACTCATTAAATAATAAAAATACCTATATTATTAATGCCTAGGAGTTTTTATGAAGTCTGTGTGCTTACTTTTTTCTGTGTTTTTTTAACCCACAGTGTTTTCAAAGAACATCATGTTATAATTGCAGCAAATGAAACTGTCCCTACTGCAATCAACACAACAGAGCAGATTGGGGATGAAGTTACTCTACATTATAGGGTAAGGAATAACTAATAATGTGTTTTTTTATAGATACTGTCTTATTTTTTTTTCTGTTTGGTTTGAATTATTTAAATAGCAGGTATACAACACATTAGGCCTTTTCCTTGTTTTTTTTTTGTTTAAACCCTTTTTTTTTTCCTTCCTTCTTCTGGAATACAGTGAGTTAGAAGGTCTCAGATGGTCTGTCTCCTGCAGAGTAGTTCTGGTGGGTTTTAGACCTTCTATCCTCAACTGGGAAAAGAGAGCATGCCTGGGTAAATGAGAACTTGGACTACCCATGCTTCTGGTTAGAACAGCCATTTCCAAAATCCTGTCAGGTTTATAATGGGTAAATGCCATTCTTCAAGAATGTGGTCATCCTGGTTGAATGGATACTGCAAAGTAAAATCACAAGGGAAAGATATTTAATGGACTTTGCTCTTGTGAGGTCTCTGCTGCACTACTACATCCAGCTCTAGAACTCCCAAAATAAGGACATGGACTTTCTGAAGTGGGTCCAGAGCAGGGCCTTAAAGATGATCATAGGGCTGGAACGTCACTCCTGTGAGGACAGTCTGGAACAGTCAGGGCTATTGAACTTGTAGAAGAGAAGTCTCTGTGGAGACCTTATTGGGGCCTTCCAGTAACTAACGGGAGGCTTCAAGGGAGCAGGAGAAGCAGGGGAAGGAGTTTTGACAAGGGCATGTAATTGTAGGACAAGGGTGAATGGCTTTTAACTGAAAGTAAGATAGGTTTAGATTGGATATTAGGTGGTGAGGCACTGGAGAAGTTGTGGATGCTCCATCCCTAGAAGTATTCAAGGCCAGATTTGAGCAACATCTTCAGGTGTAAGGAAGGTGTCCCTACCATGGCAGGGGTTTGGAATTTTAGATGATCTTTAAGGTCTCTTCCAACCTAAACCAGAAAAAGATTCTGTGACAAAAAGCCCAACCTAAAGTTGCAGCAAAACTGAATTTTGTTATCTTGAGAGCATCCTATTTCCCAGTGTCAAATCCAAAACTGATCAAGGGTCCCATATAAAAGCATAAAAGTCTCTAAATCAGCTTTCATCTGTAAAAAATGGGATATGATAAAATTCCTGCTCTCTCTGAATATCAATGACAAGTGGTCTTTTCTTTTAGGCCACTACAGTGTTTTTTCAGCTACCTTTCTTTTTGTCTATTATGGATGTCTAAGGCATTATTCATCTAATTTGCCAATCCATGTTTTCTGAGTTAAAACCTGCTGGATTGTAGACCATACCATTTATGACCTTGTAAAGTAAAATTCATCTTTGCAAGCAGCTAATCACAATTTTTTCCCAGGAGGAAAAAATTTAAAAGGTTCTTGAGCATTTATTAAGTTTGTCCACTTCAGAGATGATATCACCAATTCCCCTGCCATCAATTCCACCTGGTGGTTACCCAATCCTCTACAGTAGGTCTTTCCAGAAAGAGCTGCTGCTTACAGATATGTCCTGTTGTCTTCTCAGAGAAAACAGGAGAGAGGAACAGGTGAGCACAAGAGCAATTACCTAAGCACACCTGAGGATGAACCAGCAGGAGCCATCACTGATACAGTGGCTACTGTCCACTATAAAGCACTTTTTGCGTAACTAACTGTGGAAATGTCTAAATTAACAGAAGAAATCAAAAACACAAGAAAGGAAAAAACTCCCAATCAAATTCAAAAAAAATGAGGAAAGTACTAGTCAAAACATTTCTCTATTTTTTTATAGATTGAAAAAGGTGAACACTTTCCAATGCCAAACCTCACACTGCAGATCTTATTTCCCAATGTAACAGCTGCCAAAAACACTCTTCTCTACCTTACTGCATTGTCACATTCCCAGGTAAGACAGGAATTTCTATTTTTATGATCAATTTAAATTTGAAATTTATGCTTAAGGAACTGCAAATTGCAAACATTTGGGATTATGCATTGCTTTTATTCTAAATAACAGGATACTATTGTTTTAAAAGTATGTACAGAGGTACATAAGACAGAGGGACAATTTTTCATAAAAGGAAACAAGTAGATTTAAAATGGTGTTGAACAATAACTGCACTGTAACAAGCCTAGTTTGTTACATTGCAAGTGCTGAGATGTCCAGACTCGGATATGAGCCTCATATTCTCTTCATTGTCTGAATTATTGCAAGTGCTGGAATCCTGCATCTAGAGCCCAGCTTCCTGTCACCTTTCTTTTGGATACTGAAATTAGCTTTCATGCATGTCTGCTCTCCAGTACTAGCAGTCCTCTGGCTTCTTCCTTCTCTGAGGCACTGAGACATCATGGAGGGGTAGTTTGTATGTTTCTAATGCTCTTCACTGCAGCCGTCATTTGTGTTTTTCCATTTCACACCTCCAGTGCAACTGGCAGAGATCACAATTCCAACAAATTCCATTATCCTAGAGCGCAGATATTACAGTTATATCAATAATTACATAGCTGAAAAACTCAGCTTTCACTAAGTAGTGGCCTAAACCTCCTTTTTTTTTTCTTTCACTCAGAGACATACATGCATGCACCTCCCTGCTAATAATTTCTTAAAACGACTTAGTTTTGTAGCATTGCCCAATTGAAAAATAAACCAAAATATATGAACAAGGCTTACTTTAAAACAAAACAAATATCAACTGAGGAAAAAATACCATATTTAGAAAACAAAAAAGTTGTCTGCTCTTGATTTCCTTTCCCCATTATTGCCACTCCTAGTCAATCACCCATTTGACATGTTTGCACATAAACTCAGTAAATCTTGTTTCTTCTAAGACAAATTTCATGTCCTGCTAGCTACACCTAGTGATAGTAGTGTGACAAAGTGCATTACAGAGGATTTGTAATCCTTTTCATGCTACAGTGTGAAAGTCAATGACCTGACTGAAAGAAATCAATTCCCCCACACTGAAGACACCAAAGAATTTTCTAGCTACCTGTGGAGCAGTCACAGAGATCCATCAGTGCTCCAGCATCCACTCCCCCTCCCTGGATGTTGCCAGTGAGGATTCTGCATCCTGCACTTAACTTGCTTGTCTGCTTGCTAGGGCAGAAGCTTGTGATTTCCCATGCAAAAGCTGTTTAGCTTATTTAATAGACAATTCTTAGTGGTTCACATAATGGTCATCTTGCAGGAAGTTCTTGTTTGCTTGTACAGATGTTTAAGTAGCTGCATAGAGTTATTTATAAATATTACATGTGCTCTTTAAATAATAATACTTCAAATACATAGACATCTGAATTTCCTATTCTGCACTCTTGCAATATGCTATTTTATTTAGTGGCTAATAAACATTATGATAGTTATTAAATATTAAGTATTATCAATGTTGACTTATTTCCAGATCATTTTTTGTAATAGATTGCATATCGAGACAATAAGATATTCTTTGTATTTCTGCTTACAGAATGCCATCTGCCAAAGTAGTTACCCTGTAGATCCCTTAAAGATTGGCACCGGGAAACCATTTGTGCTGTCAAAAATAAAAGAACCTACAAGGGATACAATTATGGTAAGCCTATTCATAGTATATATATTTACCCCAGACATTAATCCAGATCTTGGAGCCAAATACTTCTGAAAAAGATATGTAAAAGCTACTCTGAATTTGAAAACCCACTTTGTATTAATAACTTAGAAAACCTTTTCTATGTCAACTAGAGCTTGTTTTTTATTTGGCTGCAAAACATGATGTGGAACTGAATTTAGATAGTTTGGGGTTTAATTTAAAAAATATGTAAATAACAGTAGCCCATTTAACAGCTGAAAAATCATTAGTCTATTTTTCCATTGTAATTAAAAAATAGTAATATCTTAAATGCTTCTTATGTCCCTTTCAGCTTCTTTAGAAATCCAGTAGATGTGGCAGGTTTTCTATGCAACTGTAATTGATGATCCCATTTGGAAAGGACTAGCCATTTACATTTAGATGAAAGAGTTACAAAGGGATTTTGATGCTGTAGTTATGTTAGCATGTCAGAGGGAAGGTGTCCTCAGCACAGAGGTGCTAGTGGAGTTTCTGAGTGCAAATGAAACCATGTCATGGGAAAGTATCTTGTCATGCTTATTGTTGTACTTCACAGAGGTGAAAAAGGTCTAGGCTAAATGACTGTTCCCAACTTTTTACAGCATAATCCTGCTGTACTCACAGCTAGCAAGTGATACTAGGAAGTAAAGCTGCTTGAATTTTCACATACACATATTTCCCTGCTTGAGAGATTCAGGTGTTCCAAGATTTGAAAAACACTTCAGAAGAGCCATAGCTGTGTTGGTAGAAAACCACTTGCTTTTACAAACTGTGCCTCCCTTAGGGGCTCTGTGATGACTTCTGCTCCATAGTTACAGCAACAGAGACTCCTCAGGGCTTGCCAGCTTGCAGAAACTGAGCCTATTCTAGCACAGCACAAATATCTCAACCTGTTTTATATACTGCAGTGTCATTTTTACATAAAAAGCTACAGTAATTAATACTGTAGTTGTATATATAGTAGTTTACATGTTTTTGTTTTGATGATGTGAAAAGTCTCTTCCTATTACCTCATGCTGGTCCCTTTTAAACAGGACTGTGATACATACAGCTGTGCCTCTATTAATTGTGCCCTGGTCCCATCTGACATATACCAAGTGAATGTTTCATTGAGAGTATGGAAACCTACCATCATAAAAGTAAGTAAATCCTGCTTGTATTCAGAATACTTTTGGGTTTGAGAAACCTAAGCCGGTGTTTCTACTGTCTATTAAAATAGTGTCTTTCATTTTCTTAAGTGTATTTGAAGTATTTTCTCCAGTATTTAAAGTAGTTTCTTCTGCTATTTTAAAACTTCCTTAAAGCTATGTCAGATGCTCTTTCTTGTCCTTAAAGTAAGTACTTCTAATTTAGCAGGAGTTTAAAGCCATAGTAAGACACCCCTTACTTATTCTGTATTGATGGTCCTTTTTTAGTAGCTGCTTATGCATCCACAAAGTCTAATCCAGCAGGTATAAGAAGGAGCACATATTTTTAAGTAAGTCTTAATGTGTGAAGATTTCTCAATTCTAGAAAGAATTTTTTTTATTTAAAAAAACCAAACAGAAGAGAGACATTAGTATTCCAGGATTAATTAATATTATTTTGAAATCTCTGTCATCTACCCTTTCAAAGAAGTATTGCTGTCTTGCAGGCAATAATGTGTGTGCTGAAGGTGATATACATGAGCAGTTTCACTGACTTCCATGTTTTTCAGCATCCCCCAAAGCATTATGTTTTTCCTTCATCCTTCTCATTGCTACAAAGCTTTCTACCAAAAATACCTAAGTGTAAACCCTAGTAACTACTCTCTTCTTTCAGGCCAGTATTCACAGCTTAACCCTTGTTGTGAAAGCATTACTTAGGAGTGAGAACTCATCACTCATTTTGAGAAACGACCATCAAAAACTGGAGGTAAGAATGTGATAATTGATGTATTTGTTCTTCATAGAATTTGTTATGCTGTGGAATAATTCTTTTTCATCCATTACTAATGAACTGATTGTTACGTTTAGTAATGCATTATCCTACTCTAAACAGAAGTGATTTTATATTACAGTAGAAATGTCAGAATTAGTCAGAAAATAACACCAAAAGCCCAGTACCCACCAATGTAGTTTGGTAAGGATAAGTACTGCTGAATTTTTTCTGTTTGCTGTAATATAAATACTTCCTGCAGCTATGTAAATTAAAAATATAATTTAAATTCGTTTAAGGAATTAGTAGTATTTGAAAATTGTTCTGTATCTATTCAAATAGTTCATACTTTGTATTTTCTTTGCTATTTCCTTATTTTTCTTTCCTTCTACTTTGTTACCCAGGATATATATTTGAAACAGGATATTTTATTTTTCAGAAGTTCATTAGTATTTTCTTAGATAAGGAAGTATATAACATGATAGTAGTGGCATCAAATATAAAGACAAATGTTTTAAATTTTGTTAGAGGTATTATTCATCTTTTTAGTACTAAACTCCAAGCATTTCTAGTGTTTAAACATTAGTCTTGTGTGATAGACTTGTACATGGAGGAACTTATTTACTACAATATCCATTTTTTAAGCAGAAGTCTTATTAGGAGTTCCTATTGTTAATGCTCCAAAATTTAGAAAAATAATATTCAGTGTGAACTACATCTTGCACAAAATATTTTTGAAAATGTAAAACTCAGTCCATTGTTAGCTGGTTTTGTATCTAGAAATTTCTTTTAAGTGATAGATTAAAATTCAATCCAGGAATAAACACAGCTGAGAAGCTTGAAGATAATGAGGGATGAGGAATTTCAGATTTACCTTTTTTAGGGACATAATTTCATGCTTATTGTTCAGTTCTTCAATGCTTTTTTTAACTACAAAGTTGGTCTCTAATAAATTCTTTAGTTAATTCAAACTCCTAAATGGTCACATTTATTAAAAGGTGAATACTACTTGTTTCTGTTGGGTTTACACCAGATATACCATGTTTAAAGTCAAGTTGGTGTCTACACAGGCTTTTACACTTGATGCTTATCTCCATCTTTCAGGAAGGCTGGCACTGAGTGAAGAGTGTACTGAAGAAAGTCCTTGTTTATTCCTTCCACTGCTCATGATTTTGGTCCTGTGTCCTTTAATAAACAATGTTTATTGACTTGTAGCAGAGCCATTCTCATAAATGAATGCACTTACAAAAGTGTAAAGTATTGTGTAAATAATCTCCACTTTTTCATGCTGGAGATTTTCTTAATTCCCTCCTACTAACTCATATAGGTAAATTGAAGTGGTACCCTGGGAAATCTCTGCATACTGATTAATCACTGCTGTTGTTTTGATGTTTTGGAAGGACACATTATTTATTGCTTATGTTCTGAATGCTTTGCAGACCATGATCAAGATTTCCAAAGAACACCCACCGGGTACAGTCCCCTTGTGGGTTATCCTCCTGAGTATCTTTGCCGGACTCTTGATTCTTGCACTGCTTATATTTGCTCTGTGGAAGGTAAGCTGCACATCCTTGTCTTCAGGAGCCTAAACAAATATGTTCAAATTCTCCATCATTTCTTTCTCATAACTTGAACCTCACAGACAATAATTTTATCTAATAAGTGGTGTGAAATCTTAAAGAAATGACAAAATAAATAATTATACTGCATTTTTCTGATGTGGAGCAAGCAGTGCCACCTGATTGAAACCTATATTGCCATTGTGTTAGGAAAGAAAAATAAGAAGATATTTTAGTACAAATAAGGGTTTATTAATTATTTTTTTTATCAGCTCTGGCTATGATCTTTTTCAACTAGGTTTTTTTTGTTGTCCAAGAGATGCTAAGCCCTGTAGTGTAAGTCTTGCCACAAGTGGGCACTCTTCTCCAGGCTAAATATTCTGTTCATAATTAAGTTAGAGGGTTACAGCTTAGAAATTTCAACATGCATAATCTCTTGAAAATTTTTAATTATAAAATAAAATATAATTTATTCAACTGAGTAACAAATATTACTATTAAGCACTTTAACCCTTGACAATATGTGAGCAAAACAATGATTCGGCAATCACTCTACTATATATTAACTGTACTTAGTTTCTTCATTCCAGGAAAAACATTGTAATGATAAAATATTCATTAACTTTGTACAGAAGTAGAAGTATTGAAATAGTTAGAACCAGCACATGAATGTAATGAGTATGATTTGTGCACTTTGAGCAGTTCTTAGTAATGTTTTTTCTTTTCTGCAGGCCGGATTTTTCAAAAGGCCATTAAAGAAGAAAATGGAGAAATGAAAAAAAAAAAAAAAAAAAAAAAAAAAATAAATTTTCAGCCAAACACAAAAAAAAAAAAAAAAAA